TAATGTTATAAAGGTCTGAAAGATATTTTCACAAGTTCACGTATTAAAAAGAAAAAAGAGGCAATATCTGATTGCCCACACCAGGGAGGAACACTGGAGCGATGGTCTATATTCTGTGACCCTTTTACTATTAACATATGTTCAGGAGGAAATTAGGAGCAATTTCCGACTTCTCTGCTTGGCCAATTTCCTCACTGTTTTCTCTCCTTTACACATGGGCACCTTTAAGGGCTGCGAATTGCATTTTCCTCCTCTCTCTTCTCCATTTAGATTCTCTCTTTCCTGATGAGGGTTTCTCTCTTTAGCTCCTGTGAAATAATCATTCACTCATAGTTTACATCAACGCATTCGTGACCAGTTGTTCAGTTAATCTATTCACAAAAACGTTATCATTTTCATACGTTCACATCAGCTTATGAAATGCCTGTATTTATAATGCCAAAAATTAAAGAAACAAAACCTAGCGGCTGATCATGTGTTCAGTTTTGAAGATAAACACAGTATCTGGACATCTGAACAAAACCTACCGCAGCTTTGTCCCTTCATGTTCCTATTCAGTTGCTGCAGTGCAAAGAAACTCTCCAAATCAAAGTAAGCAGCTTCTAATAACACATTCTTTAAAGATTTATGTTTTATATTGTAGTGGTAAGAACAAATAACAAGAGATCTGTGCTCTTAATTCCTATCTATAACTCTATCATCTTGCATAGCTGAAAGGTAACATTTCCTTTGCATGTGTGTTTAAATACTTCTTTACTTTGGTAAGGTTATCATGTTAAATATATTCTATTGCATGAAAGAAAACAATACTTTGTGATTTAAGCAGAAAAAATAACAAAACTGAAATTTTTAGGAACTGACAGTGTTTCTGATTATATTTTCCTTTTCATTGAAAAGCAACAAATATCTTTTGAAGGAAATCCACAATCGAGTAATAAACACGAACAACAAAGCCATTTATAACCAGTGACAACCAAAACCTCTGAAGTTTTTAAAAGAATGTGATTGTTGTCAGAAGGAATCGGGTTCCACAGTACTCTGGTCCAGGTCTGGCTGCGGTCAGAGCCATGGCTGAGGGGCGTGGGGAGTGCTCCTCCAAGGCTGGTGGGCACAGACCAGCAAGAAAGTGAATTCTGCATACTGTACGGATCATCGCTCAGTTCAGGGCAGTCACATTGCATCTAGGATCAACCAATTGTGCTTCATGAAACCGTCAGCCCTCATTTGTGTCTCAATGTTTTCCTCTGTCCAGCTGTAAACAAGGCCGGCTCAAGTTGTCTTCCTACCCTTATCTGCAGGGGCAGATCACACAGTCAGACCAAGTCAGCTGCCTGAAAGCTCCAGTTAAAGTTGCTTCTTGCAGACAACAATGCACACTGGGAAGTCACAAGGGAAGCAACTTTAGAATGACAGAGTTGGACTCCCTTTTTGGAAACGCATACCTTAGATTCCTACACATAGTGGCGTGGCATGTCTCTGCCGTGAAATGTAATCAGGTGTTCCTAATATGAACAACTGTTTTTATCAGCAGACTAGCTCAGCAGATTCGTCTTGTTGGGGAGGTGGGGGCGATGGTGATCTTTTTGTTCTTGTTTCGCTGCTCTGGGGCTTTGCTCGGATCAGCCAAAAAAAAGACATGGATAGAAATACTGTCAATCTGGTCCAACTCCAGGAAGCTAATCATGCCTGAATCGCTCGGAGGAGTGTAGCGATGGCAACATTACAGGAACAGGTATGTTGGCTTCCGTTCTCATCCACTTTGGCCACCTTTACCATAAAGCAAACCACAATTTTGCAGGAACATCTTCTCGGTAATAAAAGGGAAGGGGTGGTATTGAAGGCCTTTTCCTTGGCAAGTGGCACAAAGGTAATATTTAGTATGCACTGCAGTGAATTCTCCTAGCCAGCTGGTGTGTCCCTGTTAAGACTTTCATTTATGCAGCTTGAGCTGGAACCTGTTTGGTTCTCCCAGTCTTTTACTTCATTGATTTGAGGGATAACAGCCAGAGTGAAACAGCTTGCAATGTGCACCTGTCTGCTCTGAGCATTCCATGTTAGATTACGCAGAGAGCAAACCCTTTACTGCTAATGAGAGTAAGCCCGGGTAAGGCTGAATGTAGCCTCGTTAGGGGGTTTATAGGGTATTTTCGTGGGGGTTATTTTTGTAACTGATCTAATAGAAGCCTCCCTGTTTTTATGTTTTAAGAACCCTGGAATAAAAGATACAATTCAAAAAAAACATATGTTGTATACTCTTTAATGAAATTTTTAAATATCATGTGACTAAGAACTGAATTAATATTCAGCCTGAGTTGCCTCAGATGAGAAAGAGGAAAGTTTAAATGCTAACTTATTTCCAAATTTCTATAAGCATAATACCTATAGAGACCTTTACTTTGTAGAATTGGCAATGAAAGAAGGTAAATAACAAAAAAAAATTTCTTAACCTGTTTCAGAAACAGGACTAGTTTTGAAATAATGTCAAGTGCCTGAAAGTAAACCTGAGCTCTCTACATATATTCCCTTTGAGAATTTAGTTTTCTGATGCTAAAATAAAAATCCAAGTATATGACTTGAAAGTCATGCCCAGATAGATAGAAATACATTCAACCAACATTATTCACTGTGCAAATCACAGAATGAATTCACAATGGCAAAAATTGTTAGCACCTATGATTCTTTTCGACCTTTTCCAGTTCTCTGCATTTCCCTTACCTTTGATCTCTTTGAGGAATTCTATCAGTGAGTTACCATCTATTTTGAAAGATTTAAGTTGAACTCATGGAGATGAAAGGATTTTAATCATGGTTTATGATAGTTCCCCAACCTTATGTGTTTAAAAATATCATAATATAACATTTAAATAATTAGGCAAAACATTTTCTAAAATGACTCAAAATTAAATAAACTAAAAATATATCTTAAAAGTATTCATCAAAGGATTCCAAAGATGCCCTGAATTAGCACTTCCTATCAAAACAAAAACTTTGATATGGTGACAGGTTAAATGAAATCGAGGCAGACACGAATGTGTATCACTAGTAATAGTCGAATATCATTGTTGGCCCACATCTTGCCTGATAGATAACGTTCCAGCTTGTTCAGCGATGACCCTTTCAGCAGGGCTTTAGGAGCTCTGCCAGCCATTGCTGAGCCTCATCAGGTCAAAGGGTTGAGCCATGTGTAATTCAGAACAGAGGCGGTCCCACGGTCACTCCACAAAAACAATTACACTACTTATTTCACTCTAGCCCTTGCCCAAAACTCACAAGCCTCACAGTTTCAGAGCAGCCAGTCTCATTCTGCCCGTGGGCAATAAGCCACATGAAAATATGTGCTGCTGTGTTTATAAATCTAATCAAAAATAGAAACAGTGGACAGGCACCATGACGTCCTACCATAGATCATGGGAATCCCTGAGAATTCTGAAGGCACTTTTGTTTCAGGTCTACAAACTCTCTTTGGTTACAGTGTTGTCCTGCTACCCTCGTTAATCATCCCCTTTGCTCCTGAGTGCTACAAAGGAGGCTAAATTTCTCCTCATTTCTATACTTTCCATCCATGGATAACATTATAAAAAAATAAAGCTTAAAAGGCTGCTTTTAAAAGAAAAAAAAATCAAAGAAGGGGCTTCTGTTACATCCATCTTACCTCTCTCTCCATGTTCCCAGCTCCTTGCCCTCGGCAATGCGCAGATTTAAATCACGCTCCTCTAAAAAAGAAAAATAATGTTTGAAAACCAGAGTAAATTGACCCAATCATGAGATATACTATTAAGCAATTTGGGGTGGGAGAGCTATGATACTACTTAATGGTCCTGAAAAATCTAAGTATAAAATCAACAAGATATAATTGGGTGTCTTACTTCTATTGTTCCTCTTATTTGTTTAGCCAGACTCCTAATAAACTGAGGGTTAGTAAATATTCACAAAATGTTTTACAAAGGCAACCTCTAAGAAAACTTCAGATTTGATTTAGATAGCCTATATTTCCTATGTTATGCCCCCAAAGGTGACAAATTCAGACAGCATTGAAGTTACAATGACAACTTGCCTTAAGTTGCTATACCACATTTATCCTTTAAAAAATTATACAGGTTTTGCAATTGTCATACATAAATAATATCTGATAAAGTCAATAATAAAGATGTGTACTTAGGGGCCAAGTAGATTAAACCCTAGGTGCATCATCCAGCGAGGATATGAAATATAAAAATTTTAATGAAAGGAAATGTGTTTTTCACACTCTTAAAATTCCTTAGAGTCATGTGATAAATTACCCAGTTCAATCTGTAACCAGGGGTCCTCGAACTTTTTAAATAGGGGACCAGTTCACTGTCCCTCAGACCGTTGGAGGGCTAGACTGCGGGCCCCGGGACGAGTCAGCTGCTAAGCAGGACACGCAGCAGAGGCAAAAACACCCGGTGGGCCAGATAAATGACCTAGGTGGGCCGCATATGGCCAGCAGGCTGTAGTTTGAGGACGCCCGCTATAAACTATTCTATTTGATATTCTTTCAATTGACACAAATGCTACACTAGGATCCAATCTAGGACCAGATAATTATAGTAAATTAAAAATTAAGAAAATGAATGATGGTCCCAGTGTTTGTTAAATTATCATAAACATTAACCAAAGAGTCTTTCAAACATGATATTTACCCTTTTGAAATGGTTATCAGTATCTGGCAGTAAAACAAAGCATATCATGTATGAGTAATCCATGTAACACTTTTTTTATTAAGAGCTATCAATTATTGTTTTTTAAAAAGTCACTTTATAATGTATATATGAGCTTTTAAATAGCTATCAATGTTGAAAAAAAGAAAGAGTTTAGTCTTCCTGGCACTAATTTTAAAGTCCATCTTATGTAAGAGTAACATAAAACATTCAAAGGTTATGTTGAATTTTCATCAAGTAAGAAAAATACATATATAATTATTGAAAAGAGAAAAATCAACATCAAAATAAAAAAAATTAGAAAAATAGCAGATATTGAAGTTTGACAAGCTTATTTCTTCCATGGTGCAGTGACTAAAAAGTAATTCATATTTGTGGAAGCGTGTGGAATAGAAATTTGTTTTCTTTTATTTCCTTGAATTTGGTTTTAATCTAATAGTTAATATTTGTCTCTTAAAATGTTTGCATATTATAAGGTTGCTCATGTTATTATCATCATAAATTTATTTTTCAGTTTTTCAATCATTATTCAAAGTGTACCAGCCAAAAAGCATAGGTTGCCTCTATGAATGTCAATAACAGAATGCTCAGGAAACTCTCAAATAAGCCAGATCATTTCACTTCCTTCACAGAAGACTTCATTTTAAGTGTCTTTCTGCATAAATATTCAGATGTAGTATCAGTACAATAAGACTCAGTACAATTGTGAAATGAGAGTCATACAAAATATGCGGTTGAATCTGGAAAGCGGCTTGATCAAAGTGAGTAGTAAATTATTTAAAAATCAGCTATCACCAGAGGAGGCATGGATGACTCTTTGCTTGGGAATCTCTATAAGTTTGGATCAGGAATTATTTGCAGTAAAGAATCTCAGTTTGTGAAGTTTATATGAACAGGAATTTGGGGGTGCTAGTCAGATTCCTCATAACTAAGGGGAAACCAGCAGATCATAGGGAATAAAAAATAAATCATCCACCTTGAGACAGGAAAATCAGTGAAGAGATGACCTAGCTTTATAACATCAACAGATTTGGGAAGCATGTTGGCACTGATCAAAATATTGATATATGAAAGCATACATATCCCAAGTGCAGTTCCTAAGAGTTTAAAGTTTAAAAAATAAGAAAGAATTGTTAAAATATCAAAAACAGCCTGACAAGTTCATACGATGGTGAGCACAATTTATCAGTAAATAATAATTTCACTAAGTTAGTGATTAATAAGAAACTACCATATATCCTTAACAAAGGCTAATAACTAGCAAAATATGAGCCCATCAGAAAACTGACATATTTGCTAACCTATTCATAAGACCTTTATTGTCAAGAAAGTCCCTTTTGGCGGGGGTGGGAGGGGAGATAAGGCTGGGCATGATGGTCCACACTTGTAATCCTAGCACCTTGGGGGGGTTGAGGTGGGTGGATTGTTTGAGCTCAGGAGTTCAAGACCAGCATGAAAAGAGAGAAGAGTGAGACTCCTGTCTCTAAAAATAGCTGAGGCTCACCACCCATAGCTCAGAGTTTAGGGCATGGCCACATACACCATGGCTGGTGAATCTGAACCTGGCCCAGGCCTGCCAAATAACAATGACAACTACAACAAAAAAATACCTGGTCATTGTGATGGGTGCCTGTAGTCCCAACTACTTCAGAGGCTGAAGCAAGAAATTTACTTAAGCCCAAGAGTTTGAGGTTGCTGTGAGCTGTAATGTCACAGCACTCTACCAAGGGTGACATGATGATACTCTGTCTCAAAAATAATAATAATAATAAAATTAAATTTAAAAAATAAAAATAGCTGGATGTTGTAGTGGGCACCTGTAGCCCCGTCTACTCAGTAGGCTGAGTTAATAGAATCACTTTAGCCCAAGAGTTTGAGGTAGCTGTAAGCTATAACACCATGGCACTCTATCCAGGGTGACAGAGTAAGACTCTGTCCCCCCTATAAAAAGTCACAAACACTATAAATTTACCAAAAAAAAAAAAAAAATTAGTATGAGCTTTATTGGGAACACTGAACTTAATAAATAAACTAACACTTATTTCTTACCTTACGTTCTCACTATGGCTACCAGTTCGGACCACAGTGTAGAATGTTTGTTGAAATGCAAGTGGGCTATAATAGATATCATATTTTAAAAGCTAATATCCATGTTGGAAGCAGATTAATGCCTGCAACATAACCTGCTTGCAAGTAACCTGTTGGCCGTGTTCTGTTGAGTCCAGGTTAATAAGCACCACTGATTTACTTTTATGTTTGTTTGTTTTAAATGAAATGGCTTTCACTGAAATTGTTGACCTTATATTGCGAATCAAGGCTTGGAATTGCTAAATCTCTGACGACTGGTTCATTGCTTTCAAAGAAGAGAATTAGCATGGCTACAGCTGTCATTCCATTGCATTTCTCTTCTCAAGCAGACCAGCAAGGGCAAAGATGTTGTTAGACAGAGGTCGCAAGCCAGATTCTGTCTGTGAACACATTCTGTATGACCTCCATGGTGATTTGAAAAAAATGTTGAGCCAATATTTAAAACTAAGAAAATTGCAGAATAAAATACAAATCCAGTTTCTGTCTCCTGTTGGAAAATTAAAAACTTTGGTAACATAGGGTCAGTATTTGTGGTTGGAAGCAACTGGCTGGAGGTGAGTGGTAGTGGAGAGCTTTCCAGGCAATACTCCCAGGACAACAGTCACCACCCTACCTGGTGCAGACCACAAACCAAAATGTAAACTCCTTAAGAGCAGTGGTTGTTTCAGTCACTGCTTCTTCCTTGGAATCTAGACAAAGTCTGGAAAATAGATGTTTGTTAAATATTTAATGTTGAATGAAATGATCTTAAAGTGGACAGGTAACATTAATAGGTATTATTAAGATGATGAGGAGTGTCCAAAAACCATCATAATGCATGCCCCAATTAAAGTGTGTGTGTGTGTGTGTATGTACTACAAATTCTTGCAATCCTTAGGTAGAGAGTGTACTCACATATGTGGGCTAGGTAAGAGTATAGTACTTGTGGGAACTTCAAACATAAGAGGAATTCACACCCAGTCACAAGCTTTTCTCCCTGGATCTCTGAGATGCTCAGAAGAAAGATGAGAGGGAAATGTTGCCTCCTATGGAACGTGTGGAGATTCTATAGATATTTTTGACTGTCATAATTGGGAAGATCTGATAGTTAGAAGCCAGGAATAGTGATAAACATTGAGAAACACATATGCTAGTGTCCTAACAAAAACATGTCAGTAGAGTGCTGCTGAAAAGCTCTATCCAAAAGATGCTTCCTTATGACACAGGTTTTGTGGTGTGGAATAGAAAATGCTACAGAAAAGCACAAGGTCCTACCTGAATATTCCACCTCTGTCTCCTCTGAGGGGAAAAAAACCTTTAATTTTTGGTAGAAGGGCAGCAAACCCTGTTGCACCCAACCACAGGAGAAGAGAAGATAAAAATACTCTATAAAGGTTTCTTGTACCTGTACTAGGCACAAGAAAGTATCTTGGCCCAAATTATTAGATGTATTCTAATTAAGAAAGAGAGACAGGGTCACTGAGATGGCTCTCTGCTTGAGACTCAGAGACACAGTTCCTGCTTAATTCTAAGGAGAATACTCACCCTCTTTGCCATCATGGCACCAAGCATTGAATAGCAGGTGACATTAATGTACTGGTGGAGAGAAGGAAGAACATTGAGAGAGACACTCCTTGAATTTAAGCTTCCAAAGTAAGATTTAAACCTAAAACCTGAACAAACTTTGAGTAAACTTCTGGAATAAATAGCCAGCACTCTAAGCATAAGTTAAGGTTAGAGGAGTTTTAAGCCTGTGACACACTGACGACAAACTTAAAAACAACAAAAATAGCACTCAGTTCAAGTCCTGACTAGACAAAGCGAAGCCCTCCACCCACATTGTAATACTAACAAAATAAAAAATATGACATTTCTGGGCATAATTAATATTTGCCCCAGTCTCTACTATTCTACTTGA